CAGGAATCTATCATTCTGTTTTATGGTATATTATCGCTAGTGAAACACTGACTGATTCACAACACCCAATGTTTGTGTGTATTTATGGTACCATAGAGTGAGAGATAGTGCTGTGATATGACACACACACACACACAAACACATTTAATGTAGTGGTCTTCCCTGTTCTTCCAGAGAGAGATGCTTCTTTATCTACCTTTCAGGGGTCTACAGTATTGTCAAAATTGGGGGTGGGGTGGGGCATATTCATCTTAAGTTTGTGATTTCATATAACTGTGATCAAAGAGATATTAAGCTTTGCTAGTGGCTCTTCAGGGCTTCCGATGAACTTCATCTGCCCAATGGAAACGATTCAAAAGGGAAAGATGGTACTGCGTGAGAAGAAGGAAAGTTGCCTGCAGGTATACAGCTTGTCCAGAGCTTGCCAGAGCTAAATGTATATTCCCATTAAGACTATGAAAGGGAAGTTAATAGGGTGTGTGTGTGTATAACAGTGATCAAGGCGGTGGGAAATCACGATTAAAGACATGTTAGATAGTCTACCTTTGCCATGGTTCAGATGGTGAAGCTGATTAAATACAACCCATTGTCTCTATCTGGGGTTGCCAAGCTCCAGGTGGTGGCTGGAGATCTCCTGGTGACACAGTTGATCTCCAGGCAATAGAGATCTGTTCACCTGGAGCAAATGGTCAGTTTGGAAGGTGGACTCTTACTATACCCCATTGAAGTCCTTCCCCTCTCCAAACCCCTCAGGCTCCACCTAGAAATCTCCAGGTATTTCCCAAGCCAGAATTGGCAACCCTATATCTACCAGTATCACAGAGTAGCTCACCCTGTTGCAGAGGGAAAACTGCCTAAAATGGCTGTCATTGAATAATTGTTGGATTGGTGTAACAGCTGTGGAAGAATACAAAAATTCTCCCGCTACCCATGAAAATGCTACATGTTGCAATCTTTTGAATATGTGCTTAAACTAATAATCGTGAACAGCAATCTAGGACATGCTGTAAGTAAAACGAAACAGCTTCGGTTTAATTAAAATCAGAATAATCCTTTGATCCACAGAAGGGAGTATCTGAACAATAAAGATTTCCCAACATTGCTGCTCCAGAGAATATTTAAGCTGGAAGAAAAATTTGGATTAGGGATTTTAGCTTGAGGACTTACTCTTTTGTGAGCCTCTTAACCCACAGTTAGCAAAATGTGTGGCATTTCTAGCATAAAATCAATTAGAATTAAACCTGCTAAACTTGAGGGTTCTAGCAGTTATTAAGGCTGGAAGGGCCTCTAACAGTCGCTATAATTTTCTCGAGCTAGTTGATTAGCTATACATTGAACATAAAGTCGTCACAGTGGGGGGAAAATCATTCATGTTTCTCCATACCCAGAAAATCAGCTTACCGCTGCCGAGTGTTAGACAATGACAGGATTAGGGACGACTTTAAGCTTCATTTTCTTCTTCTTCAAATCATAAACCATCTCACAACCATTCTTAAAGCCCAAGAGTTATCCTGTTTGTTTGTTTTTTGAGATTCTCATTAATATTGGGTCTCATAATTACCAGTGTAATCAACCTTTGGAATCTGCAAGCGTTGTTTTGTAGAGAAGCTAACAGTAAAGTGTTGTTAGTTTCAGGTGGGTAGCTGTGTTAGTCTGCAGTAGAAGAGGTAGTTTCGAGTCCGGTACCACCTTAGAGACCAGCAGCATTTCCTGGATATAAGCTTTCGAGAGTCAAAACGCCTTTGATCCAGATATAGGACTGTCTGTTACACAAAGGCCAGTTAGATGCTGGCTGCATTCCTGAAGTAACTTATAGAACCATAGAAGCATAGAGTTGTAAGGAACCTCCATCTAGTCCAACCTCCTGCACAATGGAGGACATTCACAAATACACACACACCCCTCAGTGACCCGCTGTTCCATGCCCAGAAGATGACAAAAAACCTCCAGGATCCCTGGCCAAACTGGCCTGAAGAAAAATTGCTGCCTGACCCCAAAGTGGCAATCAGCATTTCCCTGGGTGTGTAAGAAACGGCCACGAGAGCGAAGCTCTAATGCAACCCTTCCTGCCCTCCCCCTCTCATGATCTGCCTGGGTTCACAGAATCAGCATTGCTGTCAGATGGCCATCTAGCCTCTGTTTGAAAACCTCCAAAGAAGGAGATGTAGCCTTAAGAATTTAGGAACTTAAATGTAGCCCAAACTTCTTTGTTAAAGTAAAATATGAATAATCAAACAATTATGTATTTAGAGAATTGTGTAAGAGCACTGCAGCCTGATTAGAGGGCGAGATTTGCAGTTGTTGCTGAAGTGTGCCCACAAGGAAGTGATAAGAATGGAAGGAGGCTGGAATATATTACCATAAGGGAGTAGGTTAGAGAGTCCGGTGGAAGCTAGCAAAGCCCATTTGAAGGAGAGGCAAAGCAGGAGTTGTGCTTATCCTAGTCAAAAGAGAGACCGTGACTGGTCCCCAGCGGACAGGTTCCTTCTTTTGGGGTGTCTTGTGCGCTGAAGTGAGGGCCAGCCAGGCTTCCTCCAAAACAGGGCCCTTGGGCTTGGGCTGGTAAGGCTTGGGACACAAGGCTGGAGCTTGGGGCTAGAGGGCACGGAGCTGCAGCATGGCACACAGGGCTTGTGCCTGGTGAACTGATTAATCCAGCAAGGCTGTGTTCTCCCAGGCCTCAGTTTAAATAGACCGGGAGGTCATTGACCCCAGCTGCACCACGGTGCTCCTGAGGCTACACTGCTCTGGCCAGGATCCTGGGAGGAAGTACCACGATCACCGCTCTCTTCTGTTTCTCCGGTCAGGTGGCATGCAGCCAGCCTCCTTTGCTGGGGCCATCTGTCGCTGCTGTTCCAGCAGAGTGGGAGGAGAGGGTCCTGGGGAGGGCAGGTCTGCAGGCTTGGGTTGGAGTCCTGCCTGGTGAAGCTATCTCTGGGGTTGGCAACAAGATTTCCTTTGCGGGTTCCGGCAGGGTAGCCTCAGCTGCTTGACGGTACCTTGTCAGAGGGCACCTCCACAGGGCAGGGCCTTCCCTAGTCCCTCTGGTCCTCCTCAGTTTACCAACCTTGGCTCCTTGGGCTGCTCCTTGGAGGACCCCGAGTGGGAGTCACTGAGCTGGCCGGAGGGGGTCATGACGTGGGGGGGATAATCCCCTGGGCAAACAGGTGATGTGTCCTCCTGTACGTAATTGATGGAGGAGACTGCTTGATATTATGGGAGCCGTACTCTGTAAAAGAGGCCAAAGGAAGACAGCCGGTAGTATGCAACAGCTAGTGGGGGTAGGGGAGAGCAGGAGAAAAGATGTGTTGCCCTCTCACTCTCTCTCTCCCTTCTTTTGCAAGGGGGCAGAAAGCAAGCCCCTCCTGTGCTGAACAGTGCTAAAGCCGCCCTGAGCCTGCTTCGGGGAGGGTGGGATATGTATATCAAATAAACAAATAAACAATGTGAGCAAAGCCGCCCTGAGCCTGCTTCAGTGGGGAGTGTGGGATATATATCAAATAAACAAATAAACAATGTGAGGGAAGGTGCAAGGTGTGGACTGCCTGGAGACAGAAGTGTGTGTGAGAGTGAGGCATTTTGTGTCGGGAGGGGAGGAGTGAAATATGCCCCTCCTTATGCCCTGACCTGGATAGCTCTGGCCAGCCTGATCCCACCAGATCTCTAGAAGCCAAGCAAGGTCGGCCCTGGTTAGTGCTTGGATGGGAGACCCCCCCCCTCCCAAGGAAGTGCAGGGTTGCTGTGCTGAGGCAGGCCCTGGCAAACCACTTCTCTTTGTCTCTTGCCTTGAAGGCCCCACCAGGGGTCGCCAGAAGTCAGCTGCAACTTGTCGGCACTTTCCGTCACCACCAACTCCTTGTGATCAAGGGATTGTATGTATAATTTGGGGTGCACAGATGGAGGTTGCGTTCACTAGAATAGCAGTACCCTGGACTGGGGCAGAACGGAGCTGAGGACCTCACTTGGACTCTGCTGTGCATGCCGGAGGGGAGAAGAGCCACCCCCTTTTAGAAAGATGCTGAAATGCTTTCCCAAGTGCTCCCTAGAAGCAAAAGAAAGGCACAAGCTGAGAATCAGGATGCTTGTTATCGGAACGGACTAGTAATTTAAACAACTTCAAAATACTATTTAAAATCCACAAATCCATGGTGTTTAGATTTTTAAAAAGTAAATAGGACTAACACTGAGAACACTTTCTTGGGAATAAAATGGGGCTTGATTCTGAATAGACCTGCTTAGTGAACTGTGAGTGGGGAGAGCTTTTTTGTTTCACTTTTTGAAGCTAGCCAGTATCCTGGCACAGGTGAAAGTCCGTGCACTGTTCCCTTTGGCTAAGTTGTGGCTGCACTGGCCCATCTGCTATTAAATTCTCTACCAATCATGGTTTTCATTGCTGTTCCTTGTGGCATATGTCTTCAGCTGTGTGTTATGCGCTAGATATTTGAAAAGGAGCAAAATACTCTGAAACTTTGCCCCAAACAAAACGATCTTTGGTCTGGTCCCATCGACCAATTCAGAGGAGCAGTGACCTGGATAGCCAAAGCTAGCTAGATGTTGTCAGATTTGGGAAACTAAGCAGGGTCAGCCCTGGCTAGTATTTGGAAGGGAGGCCACCAAGGAATACTAGGGTTTTAAGGCAGAGGCAGGCAATGGCAAACCACCTCTGAATGTCCCTTGCCTTGAAAACCCCACTAGGGGTCACCATAAGTCTGCTTGACAACAAAACAACAACAAATGGCCTAAACTATTAGTTAACCGTACTAGTTAAAATGGCATTTCATTCACAGATTTTTAAGACTGATCAAGGACAATTTACGGGACTGCTAAAGACGGGTAGATGGATTCTCACCTGTAACTAAAACAAAAAACACTAGAAGCATGTAATAAAAACGGCTACAGTAACACGTCAGTGTCATTTGTTCTATAGTGGGTATCAGATGCCTTCTGAAAAACGTGTGCCGTATAAAGAGGTCCTCACAGGCTGTTTTTCTTTCTTTCAGACTCATCCCACACATTTCACCGAGACGAAACAATTGTCATTGCTCTGGCATCAGTATCTGTACTAGCTGTCTTGGTGGTCGCTCTTTTCTTTGGATACAGGATGCTCGCAGGTGAGTTTCAATGAGTTTTTAGAAATTAAAACAAAGTTTTCATTCTCAGTTTCTTTTTTAATATATAATGCAAGGCTCAGTAGAACAAAACTTTCCTGTCTCCCTACTCCTGCTGCCCCTGTGTGGATTCCTCCTGTCTTGTAGGGAGGGTCCACGCCAGCGATGAATCTTACTGATGGCCAGTGTTCCCTCTAAGCTGAGTTAGTGTGAGCCAGCTCACAGTTTTTTAGCCTCTGGCTCACACACTTTTGCCTTTGCTTAGGAAGGCTGGCTCCAGAGCAGACTAATTTATGCAGTAGCCAAATCACTCGCTCACAACTTTAATGCCAGGAGCTCATAAAGTAGAACTTTTGCTCACAGGACTCCACAGCTTAGAGGGAGCATTGCTGACGGCATCTGAAACTAGTAAAGAAGCTCTGTGTGATAGATGGGATCTGTGAGATAAGCTCCTGTCAATCAGGACTCCTGGCTGTTTCAGGTGACCTCTAACGTACCCTACAGCTGTCACCCTTATTGATGCTTCCAATCTACCATTTCTGCGATTCCTATAGACGTTTGAAAAGCATGTCATGGATAAGTGGGTCCGTTGTTGAAAACTGTACTGTTACTCTCAGTACTTGGTGGAAGATGCTGGGGACTGTGGATTTTCCCCGCCTTCGCCTTCTCCAGCAGCCGTTGGAGACATCCAGAAAGTGAATGCTTAGCGTCATGAAGTCAACATTGCCTTGGTGGTGGTGTAGACCCTCTTTGGGTAGAAAGACGGCACAGAAATGTTTTGAATAAATCAATAAGCCCCACAGACAAAATGCCACAGGGCGTGGGTGGGTGCACCTTTCACTTCGTTCTTGTGCTGACAAAGCCTCCGACGTCTGCAGGAACTCTGCTGGCGAAAGAGCCAGGAGGGGGGGGGACCTTGTGCCCCACTGCATTTTGTTTACAGGACCCCCCCATAAATCTGGGCATCGGCCTCCCAGAGGTCTCAGGAGGCTGCTGGGGGAAGACAGTGATGGGAAGGGGCTGCAGCCACCAGCGTCCTCCCGTCGAATGGTTGATAGGCGCCAACCTGGCCGTTTTGATGTGTAATACTAACCCGGTCATTCAACGTCTGTCATGTCTGGCTCTTCTTTCTCAGGGGACCGTAAGCAGGGTCTACACAGTATGAACATGATGGAAGCGGCAACATCAGAACCCTCATTAGACTTAGATAACCTGAAGATGCTGGAGGTAACTAGGCCTTTTGGAGTTTTTGGATCTCTGCACTTCACTGTCTAAACCCTCCGCTCTGTTTGCTACTCGATGGTCGTGAAACCCCCGTGCAAGTGCCTGTGGGACTCCTTTCTTCATCAGGCAGGCAGGCAGGCAGACTGGTAATTACTTAGAGAGAAGCTAGCTTGGGTGTGCAGCATGCAGTTAGGAAGAGCAAATGCTAGTATATCCACAAGTTTCTTTATTTATATCCTGCTTTCTCCCCAGTGGGGACCCAAAGCAGCTTACATCACTCTCCTCGCCTCCATTTTATTCTCACAACAACCCTGTGAGGTAGGTTAGGCTGAGACTGCGTGATTGGCCCAAGGTCACCCAGCCAGCTTCCATGGCAGGATGGGGATTTGAACCTGGGTTTACCTTAGCATTCAAGGCCTCAATAGCTGCAGGTGTATATATATATATATTGCTCCCCTTTAGAACAGCAAAAGTGTACGAGAGCATTTGTATCCACTTTGGCAATTTCTTCGAGCTGTGGAAGTACGAGTTTTCCGTGCCAAGTTGGGACTGAAGGTAACCCCTAAATATTTAAAGTGGGCCACTTGTTCTGTTTCCGTTCCGTTTATGTTCCAAGATGGGCTTACCAGGATCCTATTGAAACATTTAACCAGGTAGCCCCAGGGGCATGAATGAGCGCAAGCATGGGATGGCCCCTTGCATTTTTTGTTTTTGTTTACAAAGCAATGTGTCATTCCCCGGAGATCCAAAGCAGCGTCCATCTAGTGCAATATTCAGGGTCTCCCCCCCACCCAAAGAATGGCCTTTGTACCTTCTGCTTTGCATATATGGCTTTTTGGATTCCAGCCACCAAATTCAGAAATAAATCTTGTGTATGCAACAGCGAAATGCTGTACTTAATAACTGAAGGTTCAGGACAGGCGTACATGTGTTTAAGCTCACTGAAACCAAATACACTTAACACCGCCTTGGATTGTGGCCAAGATGTATATTCCACATTGCTTCGAAGTGCAGCCAACGATTATTTTATGTTTTTCTTCTCAGCTGATTGGTCGAGGGCGATACGGAGCCGTTTACAAAGGCTCTTTAGACGAGCGCCCAGTGGCCGTGAAAGTCTTTTCCTTTACGAACCGTCAGAACTTCATCAACGAGAGGAACATCTACAGACTCCCACTGATGGAACACGACAACATTGCCCGCTTCATCGTCGGGGATGAGCGATTCACTACAGAAGGGCGGATAGAATATTTATTAGTAATGGAATATTATCCCAACGTAAGTAATAGTTGAAAGAGAGGTGTGTTGGACACCTAAAGAGAGCAAACTTGTCATGGCTTATGTAAAAACAGTGGATTTTCAAAAATGCCCAGCAATATTATTGCATATATTGGCATGCATTCAGAATAATAATAGGCCCACAGTGGGGCTTTACATATCACAGTGTGCTTGATTTTCAGTGGCTGGATCAGTGGATCCCTGTGGCTGAAGTACAGGGAGCCATGCCAAGTTATTTCTAGCCTGCTCTGAGCTATTGCACTGGGTTTTAAACCTGTAGAAAAGCAAATTGTAGGCCTGTGGATAAGCTTGAGAAGTGGTGCGTGTAGCCTGGATAGCCCAGGCTAGCCTGATCTCGTCAGCTCTCGGAAGCTAAGCATGGTTGGCCCTGGCTAGTATGTGGATGGGAGACTTCAAAGGAATACCAGGGTCATGACACAGAGGCAGGCAATGGCAAACCACCTCTGACCGTCTCTTGTCTTGAAAACTCTATGGGGCTACCGTAAGTAGGCTGCGACTTGGTGGTATTTTTCACCACCACCCAGGCACGTGGGTAAGATTGAAAAGTGGTATGTAGGTTGAACCCCTCAGTTGACTTGGCAGGTAGAAGAGAGCTACCTTGTCCCCAGTCCAGAGGCCTGTCTATAAGCTTCAGCACACAAACCTCTGGGTATCCCACTCCCTGGTCAACAGTCAGCTGCTAGAAAGAAAAGGCTCAGTTCTTGTTCTCTCTTCCCCCTTCCCCTCCACCCACAAAACAGAGAATCACTGCTAAGGTGATGGCTCTGAACACATCAAGTGAATAAATTAGACTCAGGGTTGATACTGCTGCACATCTTGCAGTCATAAGAGCCACGCTGGATCAGACCAGTGGTCCATCTAGTCCAGCGTCCTGTCTCACACCGTGGTCAACCAGTTCCTCTGAAGGGCCAGCAACAGGGCATAGAGGCCGAGGCCTTCCTAAGAACATAAGAAGAGCCCTGCTGGATCAGACCAGTGGTCCATCTAGTCCAGCATCCTGTCTCTCATAGGGGCCAACCAGTTCCTCAAAAGGGCCAGCAACAGGGCATAGAGGCCGAGGCCTTCCTAAGAACACAAGAAGGGCCCTGCTGGTTCAGACCAACAGTCCATTTAGTCCAGTGACCTGTCTCACTAGGGTTGCCAGGTCCCCTCGTGTTCTGCCATGCTGCCTTCAGGAGGGGGACTCAGTCCTTGCTATTCCTTCCCATTATAAGATAAGCACCTGTTGCAAAGGACTGCATGAGTGTTGTGCAGTTTTTTTACATAGACCTGACAACCAGTGCGTGGGTCTGGCCGTACTGTTACGTCCACAAATCCCCTCTGTTTCCAAGACCCTCTGGAAGAGCCAAGCTGAGCCCACTGCACCTAACCAAGGGCACGTCCTTATTCTCCTTCCAGGGTTCTCTATGCAGATACTTGGGCCTCCACGCCAGCGACTGGGTGAGCTCGTGTCGTCTGGCGCACTCCATCACTCGGGGCCTGGCCTATCTTCACACAGAGTTACCTCGCGGAGGTAAGGTCACAATGGGGAAGCTTGCCTAAAGGTTAGGCTGCCTACTGGGCAGGGAAATCGTGGGGTTTTCTCAGGTTTGTATTTTAAAATGGCACAGATATTTTCTGTTACTGTCCTATTTGGTTTTGGTTTTTGTTGTGTATTCTTCCTTGGACTTCTCTGTGTTTGTTGTTTTGGAAGCCGGTTTGACGACTTTAGGCTGAAATGCAGGGCAGACGTGTATTTATGCATAGGAGGCCCATCGTAGCCTCAGTTGCTGCTGCTAAGGAGTTGGTGGGACAGATCTTTCCCCGCCTTTATGTTTCACAGTTGGTCTGGGGCTCAGGCGGACAGTCCTCCTGGAGTGTCAGGAAAGGCTCATAAAAGGCATCATGAGTTGGGGGCTGCAGCACAACGGGGGGGGGATCAGGTCAAATTGTCGCCTTCTCCTCCTTCCACTGGCAGCTTCTGCAGGGGAAGAGGAGGGAGGAGGCAACTATCCTGAGTCTCTCTGGGTCACTGCAGTACCCTGGTCTGTGGCGCGTCACGTTGGTGAGGCTCTCCCAACTCCTTGGGGAGGATTTTTGAGACAAACAGTAGGCTGCTTTTCAGCAGGGGAAGGTGAGGAAACAGTCCATTCTGTCAGCTTCTTCCAAACGCTTTTCTGCTGGATCCAACCAAGCATGTTTCATGTATCAAAAATATACAAAGCCTGGGGAAAATGTTCCACGAAGGTGCTGAATCGACACATATTTCAAGAGCTGCTTTTCTTGAAGTTCTATAGAAAGCTTTTAAAGAAACTTAGATCGAGAATACGATATCAACAGGTGACAACATTTCTGTGTCAGACCACCCAGTGGCTTGAGTCTGAGTTTAGGGTGGAATGACTGACTTGTATATGTATTAAGGGGGAAAGATGCAGGTTAATGTGTTTGTCAGCTTCCCCCCCCCCCCCACGCCCCCATGCCATGTTGGATCAGGCCAATGACCCATCCAGTCCAACACTCCGTATCACACAGTGGCCAAAACCCAGATGTCATCAGGAGGTCCACGAGCAGGGCCAGAACTCCAGAAGGCCTCCCACTGTTGCCCCCCAAGCACCAAGAATACAGAGCATCACTGCCCCAGACATTGTGCTCCAGCCACTGATGGCCCTCCACTCTGTATGCTTATCCAATCCCCTCTTGAAGCTGTCTATGCTTGTAGCCACCACCACTTCCTCTGGCAGTGAATTCCACGTGTGTTTTATGGCTAGAGCCATTCCTTCTTCTCTAAACCAAAAAAGTGAGCATAGGTCCTTCTTTATTGTAAAGTTCAGGTGCTTCATTAACTCTGAAATCATCATATTCTTCTCTCTAGAATAATAAGAATACTGCAGCAGTTTTGTGTGTTAGGAAATCACAGACTGGTCATTTCTTTGCTCACCAAATTACACTCCAAAGCCATTTCCCTCGACAGATAGGACTTCAAGGAGAATAAAAGAGGCAATATAGCTGCAGTTCCCTGACCTGGGTGGACCAGGCTAGCCCAATCTGGTCAGATTTTGGCTGCTAAGCAGGGTTGGCTTTGGTTAGTACCTGGGTGGGAGACCACCAAGGAAGCCCAGGGTTGCTATACAGAGGCAGGCAACGGCAAACTACCTCTGTCCGCCTCTTGCCTTGAATACTCGGTGGAGTCACGGTAAGACAGCTGTGACGCGATCGCCCTTTATACACACATAGCTGTGGCAAAGTTAGAAAGTTATCGACGTCTCAGCCAAACAGGGTGAGCTAATTTAGGAACAAGAATTCTGTCTGTGGCCCAGATGTTTCCACATTATGGGAAAAGAGCACCAGATTGTCTCACGCAGCTCAGCAGCTCCCACAGCTGGACTCCTGCAGCTCTTTGGCCGCCGGTCTCGGTTGACATGAACGGTTGCTCCCTGGGCTGATGACCTTGCCTGGTTCTGGCTCTGCTTCCCTTCCTTCGGGAAGCAGACTGTGAGGCTAGTCCTGCTCCTCTTTGTCGGATGACACGTGGCATCCTGTATGTGTATGTCCGTGTGCACATCCACACAGGACACGAGCGAGAGCTTCCTGAGGAATCTGGGCGGGGATACCCAATGCCGCTTGCGACTCTTTTGTGCTATAAATGGCCAGGGGAAATAGGTAGGGGTCGCGGAAGGCATCTTATGGCGGGGGGGAGCCTCTTAGGCGCCTTGTTAAAAAAAAAAGACGAAATACAGGATAATTATAATTCTTTATACATGTTTTATTGAATTCTTGAATGTTTGAATAGGATTTGCATTTATATGTTCTTTACTCATTGTTAATTTACGCATAGGTGGATAATCCGCATTCAGTTTACTTTAAAGTAAAGTATATATTTATATATTAGAATCTGAAAATATCACATACTATTTTGCTGTTTGTATAATCAGTCACCCTGTATATTTTATTACTATTAATGCATGCTCAGTACTCTATGTTACGATATGTTATAATTTATTTAAAAAATAAAATAAAAATACAGGATAATTACTTAAGTGTACATCCTGTCCCCCCCAATTTATTTATTTATTTGATTGATTTATACCCCACCCTCCCCGCCAGGGCAGGCTCAGGGCGGCTTTCATAAAATTCGACAAATAAAACAATTATAAATATAACCATAAAAATAAGACTTAAAGTGCTAGTTATCAGCTTATATGGTGATGGCGAGGTAGTAATAGCAGCAGACATACTAAAAAATACACTCAGCAGTTGTTACTGCAGTTTGGCAAAGCACAGACTATTGATGGTGGCCTTGGGCTCAGGGTCTTAGTTGTTGGGTGCGGCTCCTTAGCTAAAGGCCTGGTGGAAGAGCTCCGTCTTACAGGCCCTGCGAATCTGTAAGAGGTCCCACCTCTTAAAACATAAAATGGCTCTTTGTCGTGGAAGGGGCAACGTTTTGTCCTTTTTCCCCCTCTGGAAGGGCTAACGTGACCCCTTGTGCAGTAGGGCAGCGGGGAAATGTTTCCATTCGTCGTTCTCATTGTAGGCACGAAGGATTTTTTTTGCTCTCTTTAAATGCCCGCATCAGGCTTTATGACGCAGTGAGAGAGAGAATCACAGTCCTGAAATAGTATTTCCATATCTGCCCGACAGACCATTACAAGCCCGCCATCTCCCATCGGGATCTGAACAGCCGCAACGTGCTGGTGAAGAATGACGGGACGTGCGTTATCAGTGATTTCGGCCTCTCCATGAAACTGACGGGAAATCGGCTGGTGCGCCCTGGCGAGGAAGACAATGCAGCAATCAGCGAGGTGAGCATGGATGGAAGTTGAAAAGGTGAACGGGGCTAAATGATGCATCACGGAAGGGAAGCCTCCTTTGAGCCGTTCCTTTGCCACCTCAACAAGAAGCTTGGTAACGGGATGGCATCTCTGGGAGTATGTAATCAGTGGAGAGCTTTGCAGAGAGTTCTCTGCCCTGCCTCAGTGGGCCTTTCTGGAGGCAGAGGCTGCCTGAGAAGAGGACAGGGAGCACTAGCAGGTGTGCCAAGTACCGCTCGGTCACCAGAATATGCAGAGGAAGGACTTCACTTTCGTGAAGTCACTGCTCACTTCTTCAGATACAGCTGTATCTGAAGAAATGAGTAGTGACATACGAAAGCTCCTCCCCTGCCACAAATTCTGTTAGTCTTTAACGTGCTCCTGGACTCGTGCTCTTTTCTGCCGCTACAGCCAGATCACAAGTCAGCAACTCTTGCAGTAACTGCTGTGTGTTTAACCTGAGAGTTGAAGAAAGAGAAAGAGAATCTCTGTTGGGTTTTTTTTGAAACTGCAAATTATGAGCAAATTGAAAATGAGAAAATCAAGAGAGGAATTGATCTCATTTTTTTGTTTTTGCTCAAGATAAAGAAAACTCCCGGGTGGCTTCATACTAGTAACCAAGCACTCTTATTTCAGGAAAATGGGGGAATATGAATTGCACTCTTCTATTGTAATCTTGAGGTTGGCAGTTTCCAGAAATACCAGATGCACCACTTGGCTCTTTACCAAGCTTGGCGGAATGGTACAGAATGCTGTAAGATCCCATGATCTAAAAAGGATGAGAAACGGCTCTGTTATTTACTATTACTGTTGGGAGGGGAGAGGGAAACCATCTGATCCTGTCACTTCACTCAGTATGCAAAATTTACTCCTTTACCGATCTATGCCTCACTGGCAGCTGTCCCCCACCCTGCACCTGCTGGAAATCAGAGAGGCTCTGCCGTTAATTCTGAGGTCAAGGAAATATCAGGTTTTTTAGCTCAGCATTCCTCTGTTGGCCTTCCATATTTCACCGTGATTTCAGAAAAGCGGTATTTGAATCTTACAACCTACCACCAGAGACTTTGCTCATAATCACAGTACATTAAAAGGAGGGTATAGCTGTTATATTTTAAATGTAATTGAATAAAGGCCAGAACGAACCCGCTTAAAGAGCTTTCTGTTCAAGTGAACACTGAGGGGTTGCGAATGCATGCAAATATGACTGGGGAGGAGAAATGTGACTATTGACTTCTTTGGAAAGATTCGCGTAATAAGAAGAATTTACTAATTAATGTAAATTAAATTAATTGATGTGAGAATGGCGCAATGTGCATTTCAGGTTGGTACGATCCGCTACATGGCCCCCGAAGTTCTCGAAGGAGCAGTGAACCTGAGGGACTGCGAATCGGCCCTGAAGCAAGTGGATATGTATGCACTAGGCTTGATCTACTGGGAAATTTTTATGCGGTGCAATGATCTGTTCCCAGGTAAAGGAAGCATTCCTGAAATTCTCCTGTCCTGATTATGTTCAGTGCTAGTTGTTGGATTTTAAAAACTAAAACACAACTCAGTTCTTGCTACAAAGCAAAGGCCCATGGTTGGTTTATCACAGTGAACCCAGTGCCACCTAGTGTTGGAGACTGGTATTTGTTTGCCTTGCACCGAAATAGTGTGGCCTTGTACATAATAAATTAATCCCATCAATAAGCTCTAGGCATTAAGAAAAGCTTACATGCTTAGTGGCAGTACAGTTGAATGGATACCAAGGGCCTATCCACAAGAGGCTTACCAGGAGGCTCTGTGGTTCAATTTTGATCCCCCAAAATGCAGCCACACTGCAACCAATGGTAGATTGGTTGCTGTATGGGTTATACACTGATTTCACCAATCCAAATCCAACGCTACCCACGACACTGCAGAGGCTCCTTGGTGCACAAACCAGCACAATAAGCAACCTACACAAAACCCCGCACAAAAGGGCGTCTTGTTGTTTGGGGTGCTGCCTCCAAGACAAGGCAGAAGTATGGAAATCTACCATTTGGACCTGCCGTTAAAACTCCTCTGTACTGAATGCTCCCTCTAAGCTGTGGAGTCTTATGAGAAAAAATTCTACTTTGTGAGCTACTGGCATTAAAGTTGTGAGCAAGCGATTTGTCTGCTGCATAAATTAGTTTGCTCTGGGGCCATCCTTCCTGAGCTAAGACAAAATTGTGTGAGCCGGAGGATAAAAACCTGTGAGCTGGCTCACACCAACTCAGCTTAGAGGGAACACAGCCAGTGAAGAGTGAAGTGCCAGGTGCATGGGCAGAGGAGCTTTGGGTCCTCAGTGTTTCGAGTAGAGTCCCACTCAGGGAAGAGGCCTTTCCTGCAAACCTCCTCTCAGAGCAGCTCCTGAGGATTCAGGGATTCTCATGAATTGCATAGACGAGACACCGGTGGGGTAGCAAAAAAAGCGACAGGCAAAAATCAGAGATCCCACCTCTGGTAGGGGATGGGCAGAAATCCCCACCCTTCATAGGAGTGAGTCATCCTGTCACACAAGGGAGCCTTTCTGCAGTGGGTGAATTTTGCCCAGTCCCCTCCTCATGCTGCAGACCTCCAGTGTCCCTCCCTCATGTTCTTCTTGGGGGGGGGGGTTTCTGTCCCTTCAGAGCAGCTTTTTGGGGTGCACTTTTGGCTGCATCGTGTCCCCAGGCAGTCATGTTGACCTGCTGTGCCGAGCAGCCGAAACTCCATGGCACTTATTGCAAGTGCCACAGCAACACAATGCTGGCTAGTGTTTTGAAGCATAGGTCCATCTTGCTAAGGTCTGAGCTATCTGTAAGCGGAACCGTCTTTGCTCTCTTCAACTGGACGCTATTCCAAGGCCAGAGCCCTAGACAGTGGTGCTGTGAGCAGAGAAGAAGCGTATGTACAGCTGGAGATATTTTGGAACTGTTTACTGGCTGCATTCAGAAGTCACACTAAGCCTCAATTAAGATTCTAGTTCGTCAGGAGGGGGTACAAATACAGCTTGCACATCTTGCCCATGCGCTCCCCTCACTCCTGTTTCCCTCCCATCTTCTTCGTGGTCTCTGTGCATCACACCCTTGGGATATACTGCACCTGCGCTGAACCTTCTCGGTACCGGTAGCTAGCAAAAGGGATTTTCGCACCTCTCCCAGGTCACGCGCCGGCTCCACTGCGCATGACCAAGGAGGGGCACGCAGATCCCGCCAGTTCCTTCTGACCGCCGCCCAACAGCCTTCAAAGAAACAAGATGAAGGGCCGAGAGCAGAGGGGAAGGAGGGCGGGTGGTGTGAATGCACAGATGGAGGCGCGAAAATCCCTTTTGCTAGCTACCGGTACCGAGAAGGTTCAGCGCAGGCGCAGTATATCCCAAGGGTGTGAATGCACAGATGACCACTCGAAGATCACCAGTTACAGGTAAGCAACCTGTCTTTCTTGTGCAGAGTGCTAAAAAAAACCCTTGATTGCCCATGTTATCCGGATGCAGGCACCTGAACATTTCTTTGCCTCCTACGCACTAGGATTCCAAACCAGGCTAGCTTAGAAGCCTAGCTTGTGGAGGGCAAACAAAATTCATTTGGTCCAGACACCAGCACTTCAGACATCACAGGCAACTGGAGTTTATTTTTGCGTGGAATTTGTTTGTACTTTGAGCAAGGAGGGAGGAGGAATATGCTAGCACAACAAACGGGATGCAGCTGTGCCTGTTGTGGCAACCTGGAGTCTGAATGCAGCTGCTGTGTCCAGTCACCTAGCTGTGCAGCAAGACACTTTCAAAGGCATAAGTAGCTTGCCTGCTCCACCAGGCAATCAGCTGCTTAACCAGCGAACACCTCCAGCAGGTAGAGAGGCTTCTCTGCTTCCCACTCTTTGGCTGTCTAGGACTATGGGTCAAGCCTTGGTTCAGATGCAAGAGGAGCCCGTATGATAAAGCACCTCCTTTCTGCCCTACCTTGCCATTTCAGGGCCTGGAGAATTTGATCATGTCTTCTTTTTCGTACTTTATTCTAATACATTTAAATGACTTTCTCTGCGAACAGGGGAGGCCGTGCCAGATTTCCAGACAGCATTCCAAGCCGAAGTTGGAAACCATCCCACTTTTGAAGATATGCAAGTCCTTGTTTCAAGGGAAAAGCAACGACCAAAATTCCCAGAGGCCTGGAAAGAGAACAGCTTGGTGAGAGATGCAACGCAGTGCTCCCCTTTCTGTTCTTTGGATGATAATGCATGAGCTTCCGCAATATGGATCCTAAGGGGATAAAACAACAACAACATCGATTTTGGGTTCCTGTTCTGGAATAGGCTGGGCGTGGGGCGGGGTCACACAGTCAGGATGCAAGCTAGGCGAGGTGAAGGCACAAAACGGTGCAGCATGGTCAGAGTCCAGTTCCTGGGTCACATACAGGGTAGCCATAAGAACAGGTTCAGGGCAGATCAAAACGATGAGGTCCAGAGGCAGTCCAAGAGTCAAAGTCACAAGTTAGAGTCAGTGGTGACGAGGTCAGAGGTAATTTGACTCGTTGCTTCCACAGCCCGTCTCTCCCTCATTCTGCCCTTTATAGGAGATATGTGCATCTCTCAACTGGGGGCAGGTGTGCACATTCTCCTTCTCACTATCTAAACCCAGGTGTCTCTGGGCTGCTAATTGCACACTCTGTCTTCTCTCCACCATTTCATGATGGACCCTCCTTCACCTACGTTCCAGTGGTTCTGGAGACAAGGGAGGCGAGGTGGATGGTGGGGTGCTATTCTGAGCCCTGGGCCTAAACAGCTGGGATGCTACTGTCAGAACTGTCACTTGGTCACAGTGGCTTCCTGTAGCAGGTTGTCAGTCCCTAAGTGCAAGCTGGGACCTCCTTCACCTGCCTGTTCCTCTTCCCCAGAGTCCTCTGCCTCCCCAGGGTTGGCAGAGCCTGGCTGATCTATGACAGTCACAAAGAAAAAGTAATTGCTGCTATCAGGTAAAAAGTGTGCTATTCAAGTAAAAAAAATGAGGATGATCTAAGGATTATATATTTGGAAGTAGTGTATACCATGTTAAATTTTGTACTGCTACTGTGATTTGTTTGCAGGCCCATAGCTACAGTGGGGCATTTTGGGGCCCAGCCCCCCGACTTCCTGCCAAGGCCCCCTGACTTCCATCTAGTCCAACCCCACCTGCGCCGCCACTGCCCCTACCCTAGGCATGGCTTGCTTCCCCACCACTACCACCTCCACCCCTTCCCCAAGCATGGATGAAGAAGAAGAGATTGGATTTATACCCCGCCCTTCACTTGGAGTCTCAGAGCGGCTTACAAACTCCTTCCCCTCCCCACAACAGACACCCTGTGAGGTGGGTGGGGCTGAGAGAACTCTGACACAAACTGCTCTTTCAGGTTCAGCTGTGCCAGAGCTTGTGACTGACCAAGGTCACATCAGCAGGTGCAAGTGGAGGAGTGGGGAATCAAACCCGGTTCTCCCAGATTAGAGTCCGCACACTTAGCCACTACACCAAACTGGCTCTCAACACCAAACTGGCTCTCAACACCAAACTGGCTCTCAACACCAAACTGGCTCTCAACACCAAACTGGCTCTCAACACCAAACTGGCTCTCAACACCAAACTGGCTCTCAACACCAAACTGGCTCTCAACACCAAACTGGCTCTCAACACCAAACTGGCTCTCAACACCAAACTGGCTCTCAACACCAAACTGGATGAGCAGGTGCCTGCTCCAACTGGCGAGCATGAGTTTTTATTTTATTTTTTATTTTTTATGTCATTGCTCCCCGACTTATTTAAAGATCCCCTGAATCACAGAATCCTGGCTACGGGCCTGCTTGTTCAGTGTCCAAAGTGACCATAGCTAGGCATTAGCATGCAGTGATACAGGTGGGACTGTAATTTTAAGGTGTCATTGCTGTATTGGCCCAACCCAGCGAAACATGCAGCAGATGGCCATGCTGGTTTGTTGTTGTTTTTTAGCTGGTTTGATGAAATCCTCCTTGGTCTTCTCTGTCTCTGAAGCCAATAACATTTACCATAGAAACAAACATGTGAAAGCATCTTCCTTCTGGATATCCTGGTTGTAGTTCTGTTGCCTCTCTCATAGGATTTTTTGTGCATCAGATTGTATTTTGAATTATCACTATCGCTCTGCCCTGCTGATGTAGTAACACATTTAGAAAATTGTAATGGTCATGAAGATACCCTAGAAAGTTTTGTCTCTGTCAACGCATATTAAGAAACATTTCCAGAACCTTCACTGCCCCGGGGCAGGTCATGTTAATAGGCCTGTTGTAGACAGGAGTAGAGATGTAAAATTTCTGGAAAGTTCAAAGCCACAGAAAACCATTTTTGAACTGAAATATTTTACTGCTTTTACCATTTTAATAGCATAATTTTTTTACTGCTTTAACAACAGTTCAGTTTTCCTGCTTTAATAACATGAAGATAAGGTATCCTTCTAGATGCAGAAATACAACTTGGATTTAAGACCTGTATGTGTTTACAGCTTGCCCACCTTGTCTTTAAAAGCATTTCGCTCATTGTAAAAGAGAAAATATTTCATAGTTTTGTATTCAGTACTCCCTAAAATTTTAAATTTTCCATCAGAAAAATTGAAAAAAAGTCCTTGGAGAAGAAAAACCGGTTTCCATTTTTCTCCATGTCTATACAGGAATGCTCACTGTGATGTCATTCTAAAATAAATGTGAGGTGTTAATTATGCAGTATTGTCTAACCTTCCAAAATATAGATTCTGGTGGGTTACCATGTTGGTCTGAAGCAGCAGAACAAAGTTTGAGTCCAGTGGCACCTTGAAGACCAGCAAAGTTTTAATCAAGGTATTTTATTCATGCACATGAAAGTTTATACCTTGAATAAAACTTGGTTGCCTCTGGACTCAAACTTTGTTCTTCCAAATGATAGTATACTAGGGATGTGCAACAACAACAAAAAAATCGGAATTTTTCGGCTTTGAACAATTTCAGTATTTGCCGAATCCCAGTATTGGTATGATTGGTGTTGGTTTGGGAATGATCGGACTAGTCAAATTTATTCGGCTCAGTTATATCCTATGGGGACTGTTCCCTGCTTTGGTGGGCAAGCCGGGGACAGCATCAAGGTATTTTATTCATGCACATGAAAGTTTATACCTTGAATAAAACTTGGTTGCCTCTGGACTCAAACTTTGTTCTTCCAAATGATAGTATACTAGGGATGTGCAACAACAACAAAAAAATCGGAATTTTTCGGGTTTGAAAAATTTCAGTATTTGCCGAATCCCACTATTGGTATGATTGGTGTTGGTTTGGGAATGATCGGACTAGTCAAATTTATTCGGCTCAATTATATCCTATGGGGACTGTCCCCTGCTTTGGTGGGCAAGCCGGGGACAGCCTGGAAGGAGCAGGGAGGCATTTTAGATGCTCCCCTGTGCCTTCCTCAGCCCACCCGCCGAAGCAAGCGAGCTGGGGAAGGCCTGGAGTGAACCTCCCTGCCTTCCCTGGCCTGTCTGCTGAGGCGGGCAAGCTGGGGAAAGCCTGGAAGGAGCGGGTAGGCATTTTAAATGCCTCCCCGTGCCTTCCCCATGCCTTCTCTGTCCTGCCTTGCCTGCTAAGGCGGGCAAGCCAGGGAAGGCCTGGAATGAAAGGCCCTGGAATGGAAAGGCCCTGTGCTTTCTCCAGCCCATCCACCAAAGCAGGTGGGTTAGGGTAAGTTTAAATTTAAAACACTTTCTCTTGCTTCAGGCCTGGAGTGAACCTCCCTGCCTTCCCTGGCCTGTCTGCTGAGGCGGGCAAGCTGGGGAAAGCCTGGAAGGAGCGGGTAGGCATTTTAAATGCCTCCCCGTGCCTTCCCCATGCCTTCTCTGTCCTGCCTTGCCTGCTAAGGCGGGCAAGCCAGGGAAGGCCTGGAATGAAAGGCCCTGGAATGGAAAGGCCCTGTGCTTTCTCCAGCCTGTCCACCAAAGCAGGTGGGGAAGGGTAAGTTTAAATTTAAAACACTTTCCCTTGCTTCTAGGGCTCATGCTGCCTTTGTAGCATGACTCCCCAGCCAAGGGAAGTTATTTAAAGTTTAAATGCCTTCCCTTGGCCGGAGAGTCACTCCGCTGAGGTGGCATGAGCCCCTGAAGCAAGTTCTTTTCCCTGCCCAGCAAAGGGATTCCCCAAATAGATGCCAAATATATGGCATCCATTCGAGGAATCCCTGTTCGGCCAGCCGAATCAGATTAGGGAATCTGATTTGGCTTTCAGCATGCCCAAATAATGCTGAATAGGGTTAGGCATTATTTGGTTGTTTTTTTGGTTCACCTGAACCAAATGCACATTCCTAGTACTAACCTGGGCTGACCTTGCTTAGTTTCTGAGAACTGATGAGCTCATGCTAGCCTGGGCCATCCAGGTCAGGGTGTGATATAGTTAGCATCATGCAATGATATTCCCAGTAGTCATGTATGGCTGCGAGAGTTGAACTATAAGGAAGGCCAAGTGCCGAAGAATAGATTCTTTTGAACTATGGTGCTGGAGAAGACTCTTGAGATTCCCTTGGACTGCAAGAAGATCAAATCAGTCAGTCCTAAAAGAAATCAACCCTGATTGTTCCCTGGAAGGCCAGATAATGAAACTGAAGCTCGAATACTTTGGCCACCAAATGAGAAGTCTCCAGATTACATAACAACGTTTCAAAAAATGGATCTTCTTTAGGAGATATTATAGTGGTGTCAAAGCTCTCAGTTTCATAAATGTTAGACAACAAGTCTTAAGAATATTAAATTCAGATAGGACGCTGATCTCAATTAACATTCAAACTCAAAATATGCTTCTATGTTTCTACTGGATCCCGTTGATTATGTACCTTGGTTCAAGGATTTTCTATTGAGTTGTGTATCATGTTATAGTGCTTTAGATTGCAATACATAAACAGCATTCTTTATCTTATGACTGTTTGATTGTGGGTCAGACTATCACGACTGTTGGCTTTATACTTGTTTAACTACTTCATTTATACCCCATTTTCCTCCCCAGTGGGGATCCAAATTGACTTCACGTGTCTGTTCTATAGCTAGGCCTAGGATGGCATTGTTTAAATTGCTCTGTTGCTTATTGTGGGACTGAGCAAAGTGGATCCATTTGAAGGTGCCTGCTGTTCAAACTGGCTTTGGTCCCAGGTAACAGGTGAGGTTACTTTAACACCCCGAGTAAGCCCTGAAAAGTTCTGTCCCCGAAAGAAAAATGATCCAGAACACAGACCCTTCTCTGTCAAGATAATCTAAAGGTGAGAGAGGTAAAGTCAGATGGGAACCCTCTCACACAAAAAAAAATTGCTGCAAAATAAGTGCAGCTGTCACATTCCGCTATCACTTCTTTAGGGCTTTTCCAGACCGAGGTCCGCACTAACAGCCTAAACTAGTAATGTCCTTTTCCCCATTTAATGAAAGGGGGGGGGTGAGAATAGCAGTGCTATTAATAGGATAGCCATGATTAAAAATCATCGTAGAGGCATGCCTATGCTCCAACAGCCTCCAAACAAGACGGGGGGAGATGACTTTGGATGTTGCATGGGAACCGGTGCCTCTAGCATCATTGCCGTCCTCACAGTAAAACACTTGGGCTCATGGTGCTTGCTGAAGGAACTATGGGAGGGGCCGTAGCTCAGCAGTAGAGTGTCTGCTTTGCATGCAGAAGGTCCCAGGTTCAATCCCAGGCATCTCCAGTTAAAAGGACAAGGCAGCAGGTGATGTGAAAGACCTCAGCCTGAGACCCTGGAGAGCTGCTGCCAGTCTGTGTAGACAAAGACTGACTTCAGTGGACCAAGGGTCTGATTTTATTTATATATTAGATTTTACCGTACACCTAAAGGGTCTCACAGCGACTCACAATATTAGAACAAAATAAAACAGATTACAAATATAAAATATTGCATTAGAATATCGAACTATTAAAATATGCAGCTAGCACCATACCACTAACAGAAACAATCCAAGGATGTGGATTACACTCCAAAGGCCAACCTATACAATTCAGCCTTGCAGGCCATGTGGAAACTAGACGAGTCTGGAGGGGCACAGGTGTCATCTGAGAGTGCGTTCCACAGGGTAGCGGCCACAACTGAGAAGGCCCTTCCCCTGGTGGCAGCTAACTGAGCCATTCTGGGGCTGGGCACCTGCAAGAGGCCCCTGGAGGATGACCGAAGAGAGTGTGTGGGAGGGGGGTTGTAATGGGGGAGGCGGTCCCGTAGGTACGAGGGTTCCATACCACTAAGGGCTTTAAATGTTAACACCAACACCTTGAATTGGTTCCAGAGACTAATTGTTAGCTAGTGCAGCTGCTGCAGAATTGGAGTGATATGAGCTGACCACGATGTCCTGGTCAGCAGCCCGATAGCGGCGTTCTGGACCATCTCTATTCTCCAAAACGTTTTCAAAGGTAGCCCTACATAGAGTGAATTACAGTAGTCCAATCTGAAGGTGCCCGTCGCATGTATCAGTGTGGCAAGATCCGGCCCAGACAAATAAGGAGCCAGCCAGTGGGCCTGACGTAGGTGAAAAAAGACCACGTGTGCTACTATGGACATTTGTTTATCCAGTGATGGGGCAGAATCCAACCATACCCCCAAGGCCCTTTACAGAGTCTCTAGCTGTCAACTGCACACCATCGAGTCACGGGAGTGATCCTCCAGCTAGCATCTCAGCCTTTCCCAGCCACATGACCTTTGTCTTGGATGGATTCACCTTCAGCCAGCTCCCCGTTAACCATTTGACTACTGCATCCAGGCACTGGGATAATGCCGAAAGCCCTGCTGCCGGCTGCTTATCCAATAGGAGGAAGAGCTGAGTGTCATCAGCATATTGATGACACCCAACTCCAAACTTCCTGATGATTTTGGAAGGAGGCTGCCTACATTTGATAAATGACATCAGAAAGAGGATTGAACCCCGTGGGACCCCACAATTCAGGTTTCTTGGGAAGACCTCTCCTCCCTGATAGCAGCCCTCTTAGAGAGCCCCTGGAGGAACAAGGGTGGTGCCCCTGACCCCCAGGGAGGCAAGGCGGTCAATCAGGACCAAATGGCCAACTGTATCGAAGGCTGCTGATAGGCCAAGAAGGATCAAGAGTGCCAGCATGCCTTTATCCAGATGTACACAAAAGGAGAACACGGAAATAAGGAGAAAATCCAAGATATTAAAAAGTCCATGTGAATAACTATTAACCCATAAATGACTGGATTTAATAATGATATATTTATATAATAATATGTTGGCAGGGGCTGCTTAAAGGAGCCACAACCATTATTTGGAATCCAACAGGTTTAGCATGATGACATTATATCGCAAGCTGTGAAATTTGGCAAAGTCTACTTAAAGGAGTCACATGCATCTTTTGGAATCCAACACGCATGTATTATTTACAGCAACTCTAGAGACTATAGTCCGGGAACTGTACTTTTCATAAAACATAAATAATTTGACAAGAACTTTGCATATGATTTAGAAACTTTGTATGGGGTGTTTATTATGTTGTATTTATGAAGTATTGATTTATGCACTATGTTGTGGTTATAGGTTATTTACATATTATTATATTAATATATGATTATTAAATCCACTCATTTATGGGTTATTAGTAATTCACACAGACTTTTTTATATCTTGGATTTTAACCAGATGTAAACGGAGATTGTCAACCACAGCGACCAGTGCTGCCCCGGCCCAAAGCCAGGCCTGAAGCCCATTTGTAAAGGGTCGAGGGCAGACGTCTCACCCAGGAAGACACGGAGCAGCTCGGCCACTGCTTGCTCAGCTAGCTTCCCCAGAAAAGGTTGATTAGACACTAGCCGGCAACCGGCCAGCTCCTTCTTATCTAAAGAGGGTTTCTTTAGTGAAGGTCTAACACTTGCCTCATTCAGGGAACTGGGGGAACAGCCCTGTGAGAGAGACAAATTAATAATCTGTCTTAAAGGGCCACTTTTCACTTTGTGGTATGATTTTACCAGCCGTGAGGGACAAGGGTCCCGGGATCCGGGATCCGGTAGTTGGCTTCACAGCTCTCAGGATCCTGTCCCCATCCGCAAGGGTGAACAGGCCGAAAGAGTCTAAAAAAGAACCAGATGATGCAAGTGGAGCCCCCATCCCACTACTGTTACCAAGTCTGGCAGCCAGCTCTAGCCGGAGCATAGAGACTTTATCCACAAAAAAAATTTGCAAATGAATCCCATCTGAGGGCCAAATAAGTATCAAGTTTACGACATGCCAAAAGGGGTGGTCAGCTGTCGAACCAGTTTGAATAACTGAGCCGGTTGTGAATTAGCGGACGCAACAGAGGTGGTGAAATAGTCTCTTTTGGCCAGTTTCATTGCCACCTCATAAGCCTTCAGTTGGGCTCACAGCTTTGTCCCAAGTTCAGCTCTAGCCGTCTGAGCAACCTGTTAATGTCTCTCATACTTTCTCACTATAATAAGGACCCACAGAGGCTGAGGGCGTCAGGGAGCAATCTGATCGATAGCTTCCCGCAGACCTCTGTTCCAGATCTCAGTCAGCTCATCGAGGGAACTGCTGGCAGGTTCAGATAAATCCTGCAAAGCATTTTAGAAACCATTGGGATCCCTTAGTCTCTGCAGGCAAGCATAAATATGCTCATCGCCCCTGCAAGGGGGAATGGCCACCCCTCCAAACTGGCCCTTACAAGGAAGTGGTCAGACCTTGGCACTGGTGCACAACTGACCCTGCTATTCCAATCAAGCCCTGCACAAAAGATCAAATCCAGTGTGTGGCCTGCTTCGTGCATGGGGGTCAATAGGGTCTCAGTGCTGCCTGGGAGGGTCTCAATGCTACCACGGCCACCGTGAAGTCTGAGGCTCCACCAAGTAAGTCTCTGCATGGACGTTAAAGTCTCCCAAGACCAGCAATCTAGGGAAATGCAGCATCCGCTCAACCACCACGTCTGACAGAAGGGAGTCCACTGGTGAGCTGGGCGAACGGTTCACCAGCAGGACTCCCACCCTCTCCACAACACCCCAAGCCAGGCCCGTGCATTCGAGGCCAGTGGTGTTTGGCACAGGGATCCTCTGGAAGCAAAAACAGTTTCAAACAAGGATTGCCGCTCCAGCCCCCTCGTTCCTCAGTTTGATGTTGGTGGAGGATCAGGTATCCCAGGGGAGTAAGCTGGAGGAGGGGAATTACCTCATCCTCACCCGTCCAGGTCAAAGCATATCTCCGAGATAGTCTCCTGGAGACTTGTGGCCTTATTCCTTACTCACCTGGTGTTATACAGCATCAACACTGAAGAGAGAGGAATTAGCTGTATAAGGCAGTACAGGCATAAGGCAGTTCCATGTGTGTTTTGCATTTGAGTCAGATACTTAAATTGAAATAATGATTTTGCCTACATAACACTACTCTCCTTTTTGTTTACTTTTAAAGAAATCTGTCACACCACAGACGTGTGCCAAAGATCAGACCATATCAAGATTACTCTTCCTTGTCATATATCGAGGACTCGGTTCATCACACTGACAGCATAGTGAAGAATATTTCCTCTGAGCTTTCAGCAACCCCCATGCCGCTGACACTCGGGGAGAAGAACAGGAACTCCATTAACTATGAGAGGCAGCAAGCACAAACTCGTATCCCAAGCCCTGAGACAAGTGTCACAAGCTTGTCTACCAACACGACCACCACCAACACGACGGGCCTGACTCCAAGCACTGGCATGACCACCATATCCGAGTTGCCTTACTCAGGCGAAACAAACCTTGGTGCTGCAAATGGCGTGCAACCGCTTGGACCCACTCCGGTTTGTCTGCAGTTGACGGAGGAGGACTTGGAGACAAACAAGCTGGATCCAAAGGAAGTGGACAAGAACCTAAAGGAAAGCTCAGATGAGAATCTGATGGAGCATTCCCTGAAGCAGTTCAGTGGTCCGGATCCGCTTAGCAGCACTAGCTCCAGCTTGCTGTACCCGTTGATAAAACTAGCCGTAGAAGCAACAGGGCAACAAGACTTTGCACAAGCCGGAAATGGTCAGGCGTGTCTGATTCCAGATGTCCGGCCTGCTCAGGTCTACCCTCTTCCCAAGCAGCAGAACCTCCCAAAGAGGCCTACCAGCCTACCCCTAAACACCAAAAACTCCACAAAGGAGCCTCGGCTGAAATTTGGAGGGAAGCACAAATCAAACTTGAAGCAAGTAGAAACTGGAGTTGCCAAGATGAACACTATTAATGCTGCAGAACCTCACGTGGTCACGGTTACCACCAATGAAGTTGCAGGGAGGAGCCATACCATGAACTCTCACGCTGTACCTACCCAGTATGTCAATGGCACAGTGCCCTCTGGCCAAGCAGCCGACTCAGTGGCACACAGGACCCAGGAGATGCTGCAGAACCAATTCAGCGGAGAGGACAGCCGCTTGAATATCAACTCGAGCCCTGATGAGCACGAGCCCTTACTGAGAAGAGAGCAGCAAGTGAGCCACGATGAGGGTGTTCTGGATCGTCTGGTTGATAGGAGAGACCGATCCCTGGATAACGGCCGGCCTAACACCAACAACAACAACAGCAACCCGTGTCCCGTGCAAGGCGCAACTGTCCCCAGTGACCAGAGCGTGGCACCGAATTCTGGACAGACCCACACTAGAAGAGCACAGAGGCCGAACTCTCTGGATCTGTCGGCCACAAATATTTTGGACGGCTTTAGTATGCAGTGTGAGTCTTCCAGTCTTGAATCCATGGTAAACAGTGGGCTTAAACGGGGTTATTGGAATCCACTGTGATATTGCATACAAAAAACAAGCTACCCTTATTTATTTAGTTTGTGATCCCTTGAGTATTACTAGTTACCAGAAATAGCTCAGTGCTGAACTCCATCTCCATCAGGTCCCCAACATGGCGCCCACCAACACCTTTCCTGTTGCTCGCCAACGTGTTTTTAGAAAGTGGGAGGGGCCAGTGTGGATTTTGCCTAGCAGGGCTTCTGATTGGAGATCAGATTGGCTGTGCAGATTTTTTTTAAATTGCTTTAGCAGCAGCCACTACCACAGCACAAGGATTGTGTGACAGAAGGTAAGTCATGTATACGGAAGGAATTATTTTAATTTTCAAAGGCATCCTGTTTTGTGTCTTCCTAAGATTCTGAAGAATTACTGATAGATTTTTGTGTAACCCCAATCTTAGACATTTTGAGGTTGCTTCCACCACCCTCAGTCACAAATCCAAAGGTGATATAAAAAAAATACGGCCAAGGCCAATGGTGCAAAATCAGGCAAAAATATATTTTATTAGTTAAGATTTCCGAAAAATTCCAGATGCATTTCACCAACAGACTTCGTCAGAGGAATCGCCTGTGACTGGTGCAGCCCTTTTATTTCCTTCTGGTTACCAAAGGTGTCCACGTGCTCAAAAAGGTTGGGGACCCCCAGATCTGCCTCATCACTTGTTTCTTCTGACCAAGTTTTGTCTTTTTTTTCTCCTGGTGCCTGTTCTCTTGTGGTTTTTCCTTCTGCGTGACACTTTATATGTTCTTCCTCCCTCCATTTAGTGAGCGAGTCATCCCTAGATGGCAAAGCCGGCTCAGGAGAAAAGATCAAGAAACGAGTGAAAACACCGTATTCCCTGAAGCGATGGCGCCCTTCAACGTGGGTCATCTCCACCGAACCCCTGGACTGTGAGGTCAACAACAATGGTCGCGATAGGGTGGTCAGTTCAAAGTCCAGCACAGCTGTCTATCTCGTAGAAGGAGGTACGGCCACCACCATGGTATCTAAAGATGCAGGAGTGAACTGTCTGTGAATTGTTCGGAAGCTGACAAAAATATGACATTTTTGCATTCTGTTAAACATGGAGAAGACTTTCCCCCCAAAAAAACTGCTTTCTCCTGTCAGCACCCCTTTACCGAGGACTCGCTTTAAATAGATTTCAGCTATGCAGACAATTTTTAGCTTATGCTTCCATATTTTTAATTTTGTTTTGTTTTTTAACTTTTGTTTTTGCACTTTTATTTAGTATTGCAGAAATTACATCTGTCCGTTCTGACCGCAGAATTATATATATGTGTATCAAATGCTGTGGTCTCAAAATATTTTTTTTAAAAAACAAAAACAAAAAATATGTATTGCTGATAATCAGTTTGGACCGGTTTCTAAAGGTCACTAAACGTGTAAGCGAGTTAAGGAGATGAGTTTGGCTGCAGTGGTGTCTGCCCTTCACGTTTTTGAATTCTGTGCAAAAGCTCGCTTGTATGTTTCTGTGTGACAGAGTGTGTTACCTTTTGAACGCCCCCTTTTCACTTGTGTTACGTTAAAATGTGCAATAGTCTGTAGTTTGCAGTAGGCTTTGTGTTTCCGACTCTTCTAAACATTTTTTCCCCTTTTCAAATTAAAACTTTCTTTAAGTCCAACAATTCAGCAACCGGTGGTCCTCAGCTGTGAACTTTGCACAGCGTAATCGGTTTGAAGTGGCTGCTTGTATCCGTCTGTCTGTGTGTGTGTGCGCGCGCGCTCTAAGGTCACAGTTCGTGCATGATTTTCCCTGCCTTGAAAGGACTTTTTAAAAATAATAATAAGTTTTTTCTCCTTTCATCCTTCCAACTTGGGAAATTTCCATTTTTCTCCACAGTAGATCATGCAGGTCTGCAAAACTCTTAAAGAAAGTCAGTGTTGAACAAATATAATATACCAAGGGCCAAGTTGTACAACACATGGAGATCTGCCCAATAGGTTTTTTACTCAATAAACTTGCCTCCTGTTGGCAGGTTCACAAGTTATTAAGGCTTTCCCTGGGATAGTTTTTTGTTTTTGTCGTCAAGTCACAGCTGACTTATGGCAACCCCGCAGGGTTTTCAAGGCAGGAGATGTTCAGAGGAGGTTTGCCGTTGCCTGCCTCCACGTCATGACCCTGGTATTCCTTGGTGGTCTCCCATCCAAAGACTAGCCAGGGCTGACCCTGCTTAGTTTCTGAGATCTGACGAGATCAGGCTAGCTTGGGGTGTCCAGGTCAGGGCCCTGGGGTAGCTAGCCTACAGTCATCTCTTTCACAAAACCAAGATCCTTCTGAGCTTTGCAACTGTTTTGCGTGTGAAAGCGGCCTCAATGTCTTACCATGTTTCATTTTAATCTTTTATGCAATTTTCAAGGTTTAAACACGTTTTGTATTTATGTACATTTTTCCCCCTTAATTGAATGCTTTCAGTGTATATTGAAAAGTACATTTTTACCTAATCTGGATATAAGTTATCTTTAAAAAACCGTTTACTGTAGGTAGGGTGTTTGTTTTTTTCATAGAAGAGCTAAAACATGGTCTCGCTGGTATGATAGTCATGTGATGAGTCAATATGTTTCTATTATTTTTTGCTGCCTAAAGCTGAATGCTGGTGGGGGTCTAGAGCTATATGGATTCAGATTGCTTCTATGCACTATAATTGGCTGGTTGGAGAGTGCTGGGAAAAGGGTCGCATTTCTCTGTATCCTCTCCCCCCCCCCCCCCCCCGGTGTGGTTCTTTTTTTCGGGAGCACTACTTCAGCCTATCACAAGAGCATATCAAGATTTTTTTTTTCTAGGGGAGGCATTCAGGATATGTGTAACACTACATCCATTGGTGCATGGCTATTAAAACGTTTGGCCCCATTGAAGTACCAGTTTCGAAAATCAGTAGACAGAAACTAGTAAAAGCTTTTGTACTGGCCCTTGTCCTGTTCTGAAGGCCTCGTCTTAGCTGTCGGTCAGACCTTAAAAAAGAGAGAGATGGCTAGGTCATCTCAGTGATACAGTTCCAAAGGAGAGATTGGGCTGTGTCTTTTGTCACAGCCTTAGACTTCTGCAAAGGTTGTTCTCCCACAACTGCCTATAGCCAGTTCCCTATAGCCAGTGGTCTCCATGCCAGCTGCTGATAGGCCGCCCAGTATTATTCTTCAGTCGCTTAAGGATCAGGTCGTTCCCTTGATTCTTCTCTTGCCCACGTTTCTGCATTCTTAAGAGCCTTGTGTATTGCACTCTGCATTTGTAACCTGCGTCCAGCTACACGGGGCTGGACCAGTTTTTGCTTCCGTTTGGTCAGAATAAGTTTCTTCTTTCATGCCCATTTGAGTTGTCTTAAATGGGTTTCAATCAGAAGAAACCCGGGGCCCAGTGACTCAGCACAGTAAATAAGGGTAAATAATTTAGAATCTGTCATGCTTTGGGTGAAACTTGTCCTGGCCGTAGACTGCAGCTTGCATCATGTGCAGAAAACCCACAGATAAAACCCCACTCGTGATCCTCTTTTACGTGATTTTTACCATCTTTCACTTCCCTGCTCACATTTTTCTGTAGCAGGCTGACTTCCTAGTTAGATTATATACCACTGTGGTAATTTCCCACCCCCTTTCTTGAGGCTCTAGGCAGTTCTTTCAGGTCTTCCAGGCTAAACCCACACGTGCTGCACATTTGCTGGGATTCACATCTCTGTGTTCCCTCGTCAGGGCTGAGCGGAATAGTCGTGAGCATTCAGTTTCCAGGTTAAACGTTGCCCTTTCAACAACGCGTGCTTCTTGACAAACGAGTGCAGCACTCAAGTCTGAGACTGTTTCATGGGGAACAACTTTGTGGTCTTGCAAAACCCTTTAATGATAAAACTCCAGGAGAAACTCCACGGCGTCCCATAAAATAGCTTTGCCATGGGAAATGTGATTTTGGGGGGGGAATCTGTGCAGGGACATCCTTGGGGGGGGGGAGCTATCCAGTCTTTGAAGAAGGAGCTACATGGTTTCCACGCTAGCCCTGAAGAGCCTCATCTTCCCAGCCTGACTAATTCAGCGCAGTGATTGCACAAGCTCTGCTTGAAGGGGCTGGGCCCTCACTTCCAAGCTAGCCCTGAAGAGCCTCATCTCCCCAGCCTGACTAATCCAGAATTCAGAGGGCATCCTTATTATGCCCCAAGTATTAAAAAGCCCAGTGGGAGGCCTCGCATGAAGATACAGAAGGAGGCTGCCTGAATTAGCTAAGTTGGGCCCCGACTTTCCTTGGACTGGGTCTCGTGGATCCAACGCAGTGATTGGGCAAGCTCTGCTTGAAGGGGCTGGGCCCTCAGCTGAGGATTCCGCAACCAGAGACTGGAAAATAAGAACAGTGTCGATCAGGGTTGTTGGAAGGATCCTTGAAGAACAGAGGGGTGTGTTTGCCGTGTGAGAAGATAAATGTCTGAGTGATTTTTGACTCAGCTTTTCTTTAGGCCTCTGGACACGTTTTACGTGTGAAGATCTGTTGACAATGATTCCTTGGTGAGATTGTAAAATCACTGCCGTCTACACATCTGCACAGTTGGATGTATAAGGTCTGACACTTTGCTCAAGTGGATGAATTAAACCAGGGGTCCCCAACCTTTTTGAGCTCTGGAATTCTGACAGAGTGTGGTGGGCACAGCCACAAAATGGCTGCCTCGGGAGGCGGAGCCACCCACAAAATGGCTGCCACAGCTTACCTTCAGTCACACAGTGAAAATCTGTGTGCTGTGGTGGCAGCCGCTGCTAAACCAATATTTTACAAAATCTGCAGAGCCAATCAAATCTCCAGTGGCCTCACCTGGCCCCCACATGCTTTCTGAAAACATTTGGTGGGTACCACAGCACCTACGGGCACCACGTTGGAGACCTCTGAGTTAAACCATCTCTTTTCCTCCTCTGAAAATTTCATCTAGATGCAGGGTAATCTTGGCATAGCCCCCCCCCCAAACCCCATGTCTACTCTCTCCCTTAAAATTATACTGAAAGCAATCAGTAAAGAAGCATATGTAGAGAAAAGAGCTTCTGTTTTGAATGCAGAAAATATGTCATTGCAGGGTGCATTCTTTTGCCACTTTGTGCTGACTGATTTGGGCAAATGGATAGCAGTGTTGTGTCAAAGTTCCATTACTAAGGAAGTCAAAGAGGGTTTATTTTTCTAGCATGGCAGACTCATCACTTTCCCCCCTGTAATTTTCCCAACAAAACCTGTTTAGTCGTACTGTAATTTAGGGGAAGGGAAATGGTGCACAAGTTTGTTTTTTTTAATTGCACTGTCATAGTTGTGCTTAAGTTGTAGAAGTAACAGAACAATTCTTTAAAAAAAGAAGACAACACTACGTTCATCAAGTTTTTAATTCACAGAAAAGTTAGTGTAAAAAGCATGCATTTTGTGTTAGATTTTGCAAATTATTCATTCTCGCTGCCTTTGTCACTTTCTCGTTTGCATCTAGAAACTGTTTCACTGTCAGTGCTTCACGTTTCTTTTTCCAGGGAGAACAGCCACAAAAATGACACGCCTGCATGACCTTCTGCAATGCCACCAGCATTTCCCAAAAACGTTTTAAAGTCTTGGAACGCTATAGGTTACATAAATCTGAAAATAAATTCAGGTGGGTAGCCATGTTGGTCTGAAGCAGCAGAACCAAGTCTGAGTCCAGTGGCGCCTTTAAGACTGACAAAGTTTAATTCTGGGCATAAGAACCCAGTTTGACTCCAGTAAGACTAACAAAGTTTTATTCTGGGTATAACACACCAGAAGAAGTAAGCATTCGCACAAAAGCTCATATCCAGAATTAAACTTCGTGGGTTTCAAAGGTGCCCCTGGACTCAAACGTTGTTATAAGTCTGAAAACAAAACCACACGTTTGTCTCTGCAAAAGAAACTATTTGCCAACAAAATGGCGGGGTGGTTGCCAAGATGGGTGCTACCACATTTAAGTGTTCCTTTCTGTGATGGATCCCTTCCAACTTGGCAAGCTGTAATATCTTTATGAATACAAAGCGTACGAAAACCTATTGCATCAATCTGTCAAATCACGAGGGATTTCCATGTCACACTTTTGGCCATACTGTGTACTGCCACTGAATAGATACTTATTTCTGGTAAACATATTCCTTGGATTTCCACTGCATATTTGAGACACATCTGAGAAATTGGTATCAGTACAAAATACTATTAACGAGTAGC